ATTTGTCATTTGGTAGAGAGATTTTTTCGTAGCAGTGTGCCCAAGAAAAAATCTTTAATAAATTCTCTGAAACCTGAATTACTATGCAGATATAAGGACAATAAAAGAAGTAAGAATTACTAGGAAGCCACCTGACAGAAAATAATCACTTTTTTCTCTGGCCTAAAGACAGACAGTATGGCACTTTGGCCTCCAGCTGTGTTAGCTTAGACTACCTTATAAGCAGAAGTATAGCTTGGGGTTTTTGACAGCCTCACAACAAATTTGCTTGGTCTGTGTTTCCATTAACTCATAACAGATAACACTCTTTTTAACAGCTGTACGGTCTAGTATTCACACAGCATCCAAGAATATCTTTACCATGTCCATTTATGATCACTAGTAAGCCTTTCCACTGTGCAGAATTCCAGTTTTTTGAGTTTCACATAGTATGATTGTCTTTACAGAAGTGTGTAATTGTTGAGAACAAACAGGCTTAATAAGATGGTTTCTTTCTGTTTTTAATTCTTCAGTTCCTAACTGTGCTGAACTACGACAGCCACATCGCCCACCGCGTTTCAGTGATGGAGCAGGCTCTTGGCATCATGGATAAGGTAAAACCTAAGCGAACCACCACATTTGAGAGACACATCCTTAGTTTAAATGCAACTCCTCTCCTTCATTAGCAAGAGGTGTTTGTAAGGAATAACTGCAACTGATGTAGGCATACTAACTCTTCAGCTAACTGAAGGACTGTTGGAGCACAGCACACACGGATGAATATATATATATATCCATGTATTTATTCATCTGGCTTTCAATACTTCCTTCAACTTGTGCTGAGCTGTCTACAGCAGCAGTTCTCCAAAGTCTTTGGAAGCAGTCATCATACATTGATTACTGCATAGATCAACCCTATGGAGAGAAATCTACTTGCTCTGTTACTGGAATTAAATGCTTTCCTTCCTGAACATCTGAATGCAGATCGGCTTATCACTTCTTACACAGCATTGCCTATAAAAGTCACTCTTCCATTTCTAATGAAGCATTCTTCCAGTCTTCACTGCTTAATGTTTCTCTCCAGGAGTGCCAGCCTGTTCACTCCCACCCCCCCCATATTCAAAATAACACAGACACAACAATCTGATTTGCTGGCTCCCTCATCTATTTCAACATTCAAATCATGCTTATCCTTGGTTTTAAGTGATTCCACTGGATTTTCTCCAGGTTCCTCTAGCTGGCATCAGCCTCCTCTTCAAGCTTTAGTATTTATCTTGTCCCTTTACAGCCCATCCGACAGCTTCAGCGCAACAACCCTTTCTTCAGCAGCTCCTAGCAGCCAAGAGAGTGTTCTCAACTCACTGATTCCATTGACTTCCTTTCCTCCCTTTGCCTTTCAAGTTTTATCTTTAATATATCTCTCTCCTTCACCCATACCTCTTTGTTCCTTGTCTGCTACTTATATTAGAACTCCATAAAGCATACTGGAATACAGTGTGTCTGAAAGACTCTATATGAAGTAAAGCTAGAACGTGCTACTAGTCAAATCAAAATACATGAAAGTTTATTGAGCTACAATGCAGTGCTTAAGATTATAGGTTTCCATCAAAAGTTTGTCTGAACAGCTTTTGTATAAGCTCATATGTTTGCTTTATTCATTTGGAAATGGACAGCTGCACAAGAAGAATGTGAAGAACCGTCAGAAAAGAATTAAAGAGTTGGAGAAGTGCATCAGTTTAAAAGAGCAAGCAAACTACGAGCTCAGCCTGGAGCTGAAAGAAATGCTTGTCTCTGTTTCAGAAAGGAGGCATATCTTTGAGGCAGCCGGTGAGTCACAGTAATGCACTTTAAGTCACAAGCAAAAAACATTCAGAAAGTACCTCCAAGGCTAGACGCTCCTGTTCTCCATCAGCATCAGCTAAGGGGCAAGGAGCGCCTATTTATCACTGTATGTGCGCAATTAGCATTGCCCTTTCTACCACAACAATGTAACATCATTTACTTAAGAGCATACCTAGAGATTGTTGCTCTTACAACCAAAGTTAATTGACTAAATTGCTGAAACTGTTTAAGTCAAAATATTATAGTCGTTCATACCTTCATTAGACAACATGCTTTCATTCTTTCTCAGAACTGTTCGACCCACTTCTTTCCACCCATTCAAGGAACAGAGGAAGTAACATGAAGGGTATTAACTATTAGGAAACCTGCAGAGACCTTTCCACTAGTAAAACAGTTAGAGATCTTCAAAACAGTGGTTACTTGCTAGAAACTAAAGGAAGCACGCCCAGTGCTTTTTTTGAAATTTTTTGCTTTATTCAGTACTATAAAGACTCTTAAGCCCAACTGTGAGCCTTTTTTAAAATGCTTGCCTATTTTATACAGAACTGGAATAACCCTGGGACCAGTCCAACATAAATATAGACTATGCATCCCCTACAAGTACAGGCTAACCCTTATATCTTGTTTTATGCAGACACACAGCATGTTTCCGAAAAGATTGCAAAGCAGCGTTACCGAGAGATTTTGAAGCAGAAACACCTACAGAGTCTTGTAAAGGAACAGGAAGAACAGTTTGAAATTCTTCAGGCAGAAGTTGAAAGACTGAGATCAAGAACGTTCCCTCTTCTTTAAAAACCAGAGTCCAGGTAGATGTATAGTACCATGGTCTTGTCTAAGAAAAAGAGCTTGGGCATCTACCTTTTCTCCCTGAACTTTTCTTTCCGCAAACAATTTCTTCTGTAATTTCTTTAAAAAATAACTTCAGTCTGAAAGATGCATGTTTTTCTGTTTTGTACATTTTATACCTAGTCTTATCCCCATTTTATTTCAGTTCATGACATGTATTTCTGCTGTTTTGATTATATAAACCATATAGCTCATTACAGAAAACAAAGGGTACAAGGAAGTGTAGACTGATAGAAGAACAGGTGTATTTCTATATCCTTAGTCTGCAATATGCAATTGTAGAACATTTTGAAGGTGAAGTACTGCAAGAAATCCATGAATTTGCATCTGCTAAAATTCATGTCTGTGGCTTTGACTTCATTTTGCCTTTTAAAATATATTTACACCTGTGATGGCACAGGTGCAGGTGGCTGAAAAGATGAAGGTATGCCATGTGTGCTACTTGGCCCAGTCCTGAAAGCTGCTGCTGCTTATGATAGCATAATTACCCACAGCCACCAGTAGCTGTGGCTCCTGCCACTAGCAGAATCACAGGAAAACCAGGTTTGGAAGCATCTGGCCTCCTGAAATAGTTGCTGCTATCTCCCACCCCTTTGCATTGATACGTGGTCTATTCTCCTGCCAGATCTCTCCAGGACAGCTAAGAAAGATAAAGAACCCTTGATAAAATTAACCACTGCTGGAGACTGATCTACCTACTCTGGCATTCTCACCAAGTTTTATTTCCCTCTTCCATGGTGTGTGCTGATTCTTCTCCTCCTTTCATAAATTCACATAAAATCTAAACTCATTCCATTGCAAGAGCATTAATAGCTTTTGATCTTAGTTTAACAAAGTTATACACTTGTAAAGAAAACTACTTCTGCTGTGATCTTGTACACCACCTCGTTTTTTGCTTTATCATCTCTAACTGGGGTCTGTAAGGATTCTAATTACATCTCCATTCTTCTTGCAAGATTTTTTTTCTTCCTGCTGAAACTTCCCTAGAAGTAACAGAGTTCCAAATTTGCCAAGGGTCTCAGGGAAGAGAACTGCCCCCTTCACCAGGCACCATCACCTTTTTTTATTAACCTAAAGAGGCAGAAGAAATAGTGTCTCAATACTCAAAATGTGATTACCAATAAAGGTTTTTCTTCCTTAATTCTCTCTGGACAGCAACATTCAGTATTCCTAAGGGCAAGTTGTGGGTACAGATTTAAGTCTAATGTTAAAAGGGTCTGCATGATCTTTGATTTTCTTTCCCTTGAGGTATGTAAGAAATTACTCCTTATTCAGGAAACAGGAAATGCCACCTGTAAACAAAACAGTTAAGGTACAGCCAATAAGGAATGTGATTGCATATAAAACAATATTCATAGCAGGGAGAGGTGTAGAGTAGTTAAGATTTATGTAGTTACACTTGACAAGCAGACAGAAGTCACCACACTATATGCATAGGCCATCATGAGAAAAGAAGCAATTTCAAGTTAAGATTAAAAAAACATTTTAAAAAGACAACATTTATTGGAGGATAAATGAAATGCTGAAGTTTTATTCAGCTTTATGCTGCTGTAGTTGAAGCGCTCCCATTAGACAAGGCCTTGTTTTTCTTATTTATTTGAAGAGAGAAAACACCTTGGCTCTCACATGAAGTAGTAGAATAGACAGATGTTGGTTGCAATTTTCTTGCCTTAGCTTCTATTATCTCAGGCTGTGGCAGAATGCTTAAGAGACAGCTGCCCTGAAGAGAACTGTCTGGACCAGTATCTGAAAATGATTGCATTATGGCATATTTCCCTCAGTAATAATTAAAGCTATTGAGAACATCTCATTGCAGCTTCAGAATATTAACAACATGAAAATTAGTTATCTTTACTTAACTCACAAAATGCTGTCATTAACTGACTGGCAGCAGGAAGACATCCGTAAAATGGGGATACATCTATGAACAAAGAACCAAACTCTTCCCCATCTGAACATCAACAGAAATGACAATTAATTTGAGGTCATTATTTCAAGACAAGTAACCATGCAAAGACTAATCAAAGAACAGACTACCTTCTACCTGTTAAAGTATGACTTGATTTCATTTTATTTTTATTAAATAACTATTCACTGATCAAGTTATCGAGCCAGGTTTTCCAAAACAGCATGAGTTCAATCTTTTCCGTGAAGTAATGCCTTTTACAGTGCCTACTGTATCTAAGTACATAGCTTTACAAGTATCTCCCGAGAAAACCTGCTAACCTCAAAGCATAAAGTCTACTGTCTGATCAACACTTCTTATGTGATCAGAATTCATTCAGTCTTTTCTGCTTATGCCTGTGTGTAATTGAAAGCTTTGCACCTGTAGATTATGCATCTACAAAATCTTCTTCTGTTCTGCTGTAGTGCAATAACTGGTCTTCTAATCCAAAAGTATCTATCAGCTGAGTGAGACTCACTTTCTTGCCATCTGCAGAAAAGGCTGACTGTAGTTCATATAGCATCAGCTGGGTACTACTTCTCCATTTCACTATCAAAGCCTGCAGTTCAGACAGGTTGTTCTGAAATTGGGACAAAACAAAAAAAATTGTCATTGGCTGAAATGCGGGATTTTTTGATACCCCGCAGATCTATTTTTTATAAAACACCTTAAACTGAGACAATACACAAACACCACACCAAAATAAGTCAGTCAATATTGTTGCTTAAATCAATAAGTGAGGATTACACTATGAATTCTACTTCAAAGAATGACTTAAAAGTGCTTTTTCAGAGGTTCGCCTCACCTTAGATCGGTACATCTTAACCAGTTTGAGCCTTCGAAGTAGTTCTTCCTTCTCTTGCACTTGTTTCACCAACCTTACTTTTTCTTCTAGGGACTGTTGCTGACTAAGATCAGCCTGTAGCACATGAGAATTCTCTGCTGATCCACAGAGATCTTTTTCCGGTAGGGGACTTTGGAAACATGTATGTCCAGTGCCATTTCTTTCCAGGTTTTCAGAACCATCTTGTAATCTGGAACAATCTGTACTTGTCTTTGGCAGGCACCCTTTGTCAGCATCAGCACAGTCTTTTTCTTCAGTGTCTATTTTTAGCCGCTTTGCCACTGTAAAAGTAGCATTAAATGAACGTCTTGTTTTCCTTAATCGCTCCCTCAGAGCTGCACTCAGTGGCTAAAAAAAAAAACAATAAAAAAACCCAGAAAGGATCAGAATAATCTAATCTTTTGAACAAATTTCAAAGAACTGTTTACCCTGGTTATTGTTTAGACAGAACGTGTCATATATGTAAAAATCATTGTAAAGCCAGACTTCCTAATTCTCACTATAGCTTTCACAAACATAACAAAGTTAACTTCTTCCTTTCACATGTGTTTGCACACACAGCTGCAAGATATGGAAAGATGTACCTCCACATTTTCTAGGAGCAAATTCTGTATTCCATTGAGGCAAACCTACTCATCTAGTCTTTGTGCAGAAGATATACAGCATATTTCAACTTGGCTGATTTTATTCCTTCATGTTCAATTTCCCCCTCTAGTTTAATGGAGATAAGGGATGGGGGTTTTTTGCTGTTCCATCCCACCACACATACACTTTCTGCATTAGCACTAGTATAAAACATCTGTATTCTACTTGAGAGTATTAGAAATGATCTGTATAATTTTGAATTGTTCATGCTTTGAGATCCTTCACTGATAAGCGTCTAAAAAGTGATTCTTTTTCTTCAAAAGTTAATTTTTTTTTTTTTTTTTTTTTAAAATAATCTGTGTCTAGTGTTTTTACCTGTGAAAATATACTAAAATATGAGAGAGAGGGATTAGTTAAGGAACACTTGCAAACTAGCCCTATCCTGCATAGGTCCAGATGGTGAGCATGACAGCATCACCATAACGCATGCTAGGGTGGACACCAAAGTAGAGCTCAGCATTATGGAGAATATACAAACTGAAAGCAGTGTACTTTGTTCAAGTGCAAGCAGAAGTCACAGAAAGTCATTCTGCATACACAGCAACCCAGAAAACTAGGATTTGAGAAAACTGAAGATGACAGATTAAAAAAAAAAACAAACAACAAAAACCACCACAAACCCTAAATAGTATTTAAATTTATTAGTATGGCATTTTGGGTATACTGCTCCATCGCTTTGTATTCACAGCAAACATCTGCATATTCAGAGCAAAGTATACCAAGCACATTCCTCACCTGGACAACCTTGCAGCTATAGGTATAAGCTACCTATCTTTAGCCTTCCAGCAAACAGTATCTCAGTGACTCCAACTACTTGATGATTTCACAGGCATTTTTGTTACTATGAAGAGTCACATTACTGGAAAAACAAATAAGTTTTCATACCTGTTTCCCTGAACTAGTCCTCTGTGGAGCTGCTGTCCCAGAATCCTTTGGGGTATTGCACAAAGATGTCAATTTATCAAACACTGGTTCTTCCATCTCAAGATGGATAGCAGTTTCTGTAAGAAGACAATGAATTACATATGGTGCCATTTTCACCTGTTTATAATGAGCGATGTGGCTGTAGAAATGAGTGAAAAGCTCTAATAAGAAATACTAAGGCTTATTTTCTAATTGTTAAGTTCAAGAAGACATCTGCATAAGTTATACAACTGTTTCACATGCTAAGTAGCATCTTGAAGAAAAGCCATTCACAAAGCAAGAGGATGAATGACACTGCTAACTGGTATAAAGTATCTTACTATGAATTTTGTATATTATTTTTCCCTCACTCATAAAACTCTATGGAATTTTTTCTTAAAAAGATGAAAAATATTACAAAAAGTCTTACAGATATTCTCCATTATAATTTTTTTTTCTGATATCCTCTTTCACGTGTTAAAAAGGAGCAAGACAACTTATGAAGTACACAAACCCATTACACTATGCCTATAAATCCAAGGTCAGATCCTGCAACATCGAACTCATCAAAAAAGCTCACTCCAAACAAACTGTATCTTCTTAACCTGAATGACCCTTACTGCTTGTCTAACTCAAAGGAATAATCCTTACTAAGCCAGGTTGTGAAGAACTAGTCCTTTCATTTAACTGCATAAGTGATAAAAGGATTGTTGGGAGCCACAAGATTTTTATTGTCCACATATATAAACAATTAATCTTTTCTATAAAACAAAATAATTGGGTACCCAGGTCTGTGAAAATAATCCACAGTCTCATTTGATCCTTCTGGGATGCTGCTTAAAAAAGTAATTACTCATACAAGTAGAATTTTAGATTAAACGTAAGCATCCCCAGATCACTCAGAAACGCGCCTTAATTAAAACAGTAAGTCATACCTCTCAGCAGGTACCACCTTCTAATTGATTTGGCAATGTTTAACTTACTTTAGCACTTGTGATCCACCTGCTAATGACCAAAATGCAGCTGGAAAATTGTCAGCTATGCCTCTACTTACCTGCAAATTGCAATTAGGAGTTCCAAAACAGAAGCCTCTTAAAATAAAATCCTGCAAACAAGTCACTAGGCAACACAAGACTGGCACAAGGGGCTTCCTCTTCAGAGATGAAACATACCAAAGCTTCAGTATGCCAAAGCCTTACTAACCCAGCAACCCTGGTCTTCCTGGCTCTATACCAAAGGACACATCCTCATTTATCTTACAAGTCAACATTCCCCCTAGTTGTTCAAAATTCAACACATGGTATTCTATTAAAAAAAAACCCCAAACAACAGATTTTAGTAAAGTCTAGTTAATTGGGTATTTTAACAATCTGTCGATTGAACAGGAAACCCACAGCACCCATTAAATATAATGCAAGTTATCACTACTATTTCTTAATGTAAGCAAGAGCCTAGAAAAAGCTACATCATACCTACATGTACAGTATGTCACAAATATGTAATAAATCTTACTAAGCAGAAAAATAAATACAAGCCCAAGAGCTAGCTTCAACAGACTCGTTCAACTCTTTCAAAATAAATCCTGTGACTCTCTGCCTTTACATTCTAATGCAGATTATTTGTCTTCACATGACCCTGACTACAATGAATACTTTTTCCAGTGGTTCACTAATGCTCTTACTTTAACTCTCTATTTGGCAGCACATTCACATAGATCTCCTGCACCCTTAAATCCTTCCCCAAGATCTCAGACTAAGAATCCTTTACATTTTCAAGCAGCAATGCTATTTATCACACAGAAAAATAATTCTGTTCAGCAAGTAAGGAAAATCTGGGCTACAAGGGGAAAAGACAATTTTGCACTTCAGTACTTACTTGATTTTGCACTTTGGGTAAGTGATGCTACCTACCTCAGTTTTCCTGCTTAAAGCTACACTGTGTAACAACATTCACTCCTTTTACGTTCTCCTCTCACCAACCGAAGGCTCTATTAACACTCAATAACAATTTTCCCCTAGCTACTTTTCCACCCTACAGAGAAGCAGAAAGAAGGCTGGGCAGCCCGTAAGCAGAGCCACAGATCCGGGAAGCTTTGTCTGAGGCGATGCACCCTGGAGGGCCAAGAGGCACCCCAGAAACGGAGCACAGCAGAGACCCGCAGCGCAGTCACAGACCAAGCCAGAGGCCGCTCACACGCCGCGGAGCGAGGGGAGGCCCCTCGCGGAGCACAAGGCCCCCAGCCCTAACGAGGCCTAGCCCGCCCCTAGGAGCCACCTGGGCCAGGACCCGGGGTGGGGGTCAAGGAAGGAGACAGCCCTGAGGGACCCTCGCCTCGCCTCTCCTCTCCCCTCCCTCCTCTACACCAGCATCTGTGGGGAACAGAACCCGCTCCCCTCAGACACCAGGGAAAGG